TGAATGAGAAAGTTTACAAGTTTCTAAAACATATTCACCTTTTATGGTTTTCCAACTGAGTGTCAGTGATGCAAACAACTTGTTGTATTAGAAATCTACAACACTAACAATCATTATCTTTCAGTCTTTTTTACTTGTTCTAAAAAAAAAACCATGTCTGTTTCACTTACACAGTGGCAATCTCTTATGTGCATTTTTTTTTTTTAAACTGGAGTAAAGAACACAGACACAAATAATAATTTGGGCATGGTATGTCCCTCACCAAAATGAATCAAAGATACTGCTGCTCTTGAAACTAAGTACAATATTTCACATTTTCTCATAGTCCATGCCATATGCATTGTTTCTCATGTTCATCCATGATCTTCATCTATCCCAATAATTTTATACATCAATTTTTCCTTATCCCGCAGCAAAGATGACCCTTAGACACAATGGACTGCGGATTACAACCAGTCTGGTGAAACCATTAGGGGAGTCCTAATTATAACTTCTTTAAAAGTTGAATGAGATATCTGGGGTTTGCCCTCCGGGCTTGCCATCCAGACTAAGATTTTGTAATCTCAGGGCACACAAACTTTCAGATAGCAGCCTGGATGGAAGGACAAAGGAAATTATTGGTACTTACACCACAAAGGAAAGTCATCAATCTTCTTCTTCTTTCGTTCGCCTGAAATAAGTTGTCTATATCAGCAGTTTTGTCTCTTGTATAAATTTCACTGTCGTTAGTTCATTCAGTGGTCCATAGAGTTTATGTTCCACTGTTGTTCTTTCTGGCCAAAAGGTTTGCCTTAATGTGTCAAAATCGGTGCAGTCCTGGAGTACATGCTCTGCTGTCTGGGGCACATTTCCACAGGTGCACATGGCTGATACACCTATCTTGAATTTTGTGTACATGTGGTTATGTAATCGGTTGTGCCCTGTTCTGAGGCGGAGGATAATGACTTGTTCTGGTCTGTCCATAATCAAAATAGTCGTCTTGTGCTGGGGCTGGTGGTTTCCTGATCGATTTAATGATTCTTCAAACATCTTCCCTTTTCTTCCTTCTAAAGCCTTCATGTTTCCATGACACAATTGAAAGTTTGCCTCTTCCCACAGGGAGCCGCCATGTTTTGGCAGTTAGATGCTCGCCCATGGATCAGAAGGTCGTGGGTTCAGGTCCTAATGGCACCAGCCTTGAATGGTTACCTGATGGAGTCCTGGGAAGTAGAGGCAGCTGGCGTGATGCTGACCCCATCACTCTCCAAGCGCCGACTGCTCCATAAAATATAGGTCTAGCCCTATTTGCTCAATATGCATGAAGGCATGGAAAGGATCCTTTACTTAATTTACTTACATTTGACTCTTCCCATACCTTCAAAGTATGTAGGTCTCTAATAGTGATGTGTATAATCAGTTACAATGTTATACGTAGGAATGCAAACAAATTAGGACTATTATGAATTTTATGACGGGTCACTGTATCTACACTCTCCAGCAGAAGTACAAAAAAACTGGTTTCACAATTTCAAAAACAGTAATACTCTTATGTAGCCTATACAAATTAGATTAATACATTTTATTCACAACTAATTGAAGCAATGACAGCCAGATAAGAGGATAACTCAAAAATAACAAAGAAGGGTTATAAATTAATCCTTCAGCAACTGTGCTGCAACACAAAAATGCAGTCTGACTACAAGATATTTTCAAGAGCAGCAAAATTAAGTTATGCTACATCAATTTTCTGCCACATGCGACAAATGAACATTCAATTATCAATCAGATCAAACAAATGTACATCCATAATCTGCCACATGGGACAAATTAAACATCCATTCCTTATCACATGGGACAAATGTTCATCCATAATCTGCCATGTGAGACAAATGTTCATCCATAATCTGCCATGTGAGACAAATGTTCATCCATTATCTGCCATGTGAGATAAATGTTCATCCATTATCTGCCATATGAGACAAATGTTCATCCATAGTCTGCCATATGAGACAAATGTTCATCCATAATCTGCCATATGAGACAAATGTTCATCCATAATCTGCCATATGAGATAAATGTTCATCCATAATCTGCCATATGGGAAAAATGTTTATCCATAATCTACCAAATGGGACAAATAAACATCCATTCTATTAAATAAACACATCTTATCACACTGGCCAGTTTTTTTTTCTCCACATTTTCTGGCACCAATTTAAGACTGGGCCTCACTCTCATTCATACCAACGTCTGCTTTCCTGTCTCAACTTCCTTTTCTAACAAAAATTGCCAAAATTATATCAGTAATTTTTTTAATATATATATATATACAAAATTGTATTTCTCATGATGTTTTGGCAAAGAAAGCTGCCTAGTGTGTGAAGCACAGATAGAAAAAGGAGACTCAGATAATTTTAAGGAACCTGGAGAAGGACAGTAGAAATGGAAATGAAGGGTTGTAAAATGACACAAGAAACAGTGTGCAGAAAAGCAGTATGGCAGCACTAGAGATGATTTTCAAACGCCTTAGGTTTCAAATTCAACATGAGACTAACAAAAAATCATTGTGTGTGTGTATATATACATTTATATTTCCCTTGTCTTTCAAGTACTTGTTCAATCTATTTTGCTTTTTATTCATCACTTCCTAGTTTATTACCTATTTTTAGAGCCCTGTTCCAAGGTTCAGTATTTCTGACTACATCTGTCCATGTCATGTTGACAATCTAATAGACAATTTATAAACAAAAATGTGTAGATTTCCCGAGCTGTTTTTTGAGTCATGTTCCTCTAAGAAAAAGAAAGAAAAACAACTACAACTGATATTTACTTTAAAACAGTCAGATTATTATATCTCCAGAAACCACATAATTTGACATGTAATGAAGGAAAAAAAAAATGAATTCTTTCCATTGCAATGCACAAATCACACCATCTCTCACTGCCAAGTCATTTTTTTCTAGGTTTAAAAACAAAATGTGCCCGAACTCACCAAAAGCTTCTGGCAGTAGTGATGGGAAAAAAAGCCTAAAAAAAGGTGCTGGTACTATGTACCACCTAAAAAAAGGTGCTGGTACTATGTACCACCTAAAAAAAGGTGCTGGTACTATGTACAACCTAAAAAAAGGTGCTGGTACTATGAACCACCTAAAAAAAGGTGCTGGTACTATGTACCACCTAAAAAAAGGTGCTGGTACTATGAACCACCTAAAAAAAGGTGCTGGTACTATATACCACCTAAAAAAAGGTGCTGGTACTATGTACCACCTAAAAAAAAAAAAAACTGTTCATTTCACTGAAGAGACACAGCAAAATAACTGAAATTCACAGCAGGAACAATTTGTGTTTTAAATACCAGAGGATACAAAAGAAGTCACAGAAAGTAATGCCAAACATTGGCCTGAGCGGACTTTTAGCACTAAAATAAGAATAGATATCAGTCAGTAGATGTGATGCGTAATGACGGCTGACTATATTTTGTTTCCTGAGGAAATTTTTCATACATAAGTTAAAAAAAACAAAATAGTTTTATAAAAAGTTCTCAGCAGAATAAGTTGGCACTTTTTCATCTATATGTTGGACTTTTATATGGAAGGAGTAATCCCTTAACTTTACATTAAATGATGTAATAAAATTATTACAAAACATCTATATTAAAAACTTTTTTTAAAACATACCACTAGTAAATTAAAGCCCATATTTCCAACCTAGTGGTCTACTTAAGGGAAAAAACTACAAAATAAACACAGATGAAGCTTATTTATGCATTATAAAGAGAACAACATCTAAGATCAAATAGAAAGGAACCTAGCATTATCTAAAATATATTGTAGTCATCATCGCAGCTTGTGGCCACTCGAGAGTGATCTCCTATGACTAATATAAAATATGATGGAGAGGGTGTTAGTTATATGCTATAACTATATATATATATATATATATATATATATATATATATATATATATATATATATATATATATATATATATATATATATATATATATATATATATATACACTGTTAGATGTATATAATACCCTTATGACAACCTTGTCGGTGTTTGTTGCTTAGGGGTTATTAATGAAGTTTCATCAAACTGACATACCAGGCTGAATTCAGTTGCAGGTGATTTTCCAGCTGACTGCTTTACACTGAAACCACTGAAAATTATAAGTGTTTCCAGATTATTTCTGTAGATCTGTCAATTCGTGTTCTAGCCAGTTATACCTTTATCCACTGTTAACAGGTTTAAAAAACAAAAATCTTACAGTTTTAACTCCAGAAAATTATCCTGTAACCACCTTACCAGCTGCTTCTTCTTTGCATTCACTGGCTGTAAACTCCAGCGGAAAGTTCTGGTTGTTTGCCCACTTCTGGACTCTATTCCTGCTCCAGAAACTGAGTGTTGCATGCACATTTGTTTCACAGGTTTGAGTCTTTTGCATGCAGACCGTTAGTTCCTTGCCTCTCAGGCAGATGTACTTCCGACTTTAGATAAAAGTGGTCTTTATCACTCATGATGGATGAACATCATCATCATGACTCCGACTTCAAAGGAAGCTCCCAATCAGTCGACTCTTACGACATGCTTTTTTGGGCAGGCAGTGGGTCTATTCTTGTGTTCCCCTCAATAGGGCATCGGAACCAACACGGGGGAGTGCTCCTTTAAATCTTTCAATTCAGTTCCAAAAAGTTTATTTTTTACATGCATCCTGATAATTTCTTTACATTTTTAAAATTCATGAATCTCAACTGTTATTTTCTTATTTACTGTTCTCAGGTTATGTAAGTCAATTTTGCAACACATTCTGTTTTCACTTTCACTAACTCTGCTCAAGTTAAGTCTTCACACTTTTTAATTGCAGAAAGTTATTACTGCAACTCTGTTCAAACCAGATAATATGAAAACAGTAACTGCCTAGGACATAACAAGTCAACTATTCCAGTCAGTACTAATTCCAGTAACAACATATTCACATTGTAACATGAAATACAAACACACATCCAGTCAGTTATCTGTCATGACTGCACATCTTCTAAATGTCTACATTCAGACTTGAGCTTCACAAACTCCTTGGCAACCTCGTCATTTGTTCGTTGTGAGAGGATTCTTAAGACTGTGAACCCAGTTTCATCTAGGTGCACCCGACGGCCTAGAGGCACCCAGCATGCACAGCTGCCTTGCTCAATGATGTCCCGAAGCTGCATCAGTGCAATACCAATCAGCCGGTCCTCTCTTGCAAAGCAGTAGTCCTTGACACAGAATTGAAGTTCATATGCGTAAGGATCATCTTCATTGCCCAGGTTGCTGGAAGGGAAGAAACGATGGCAAGCTGGTGAAGGATACAATACTGCAGAATAATAATTACAGAGGTTGTGAAGAAGAGTATAAACAGCAGGTTATATCTGAAGTAAGACAGGGGTGTGTTTTATCACCACTGCTGTATATCATCTACATTGATAGTCTATGCAAGGATGCCAAGCCCAGGAACAAAAATATTAGTAACATCAATAAATTACCCTTTGCTGAGGACCAAGCCTTTATAGCAAATACAGCCATTAAATTGCAACACTTTACATCTATGAATGAACAATGAAAAATAATATTAAAAAAATATGAGAAGCAACATTAAAAAGACGGAAGTAATGTTGATAGGAAGAAAGAAGTGCAACCTCAATATAACAGTAGAGTGCAAAGGCAACTGAGTTTAAATATCCGGGAACAACATTCACCGAAGATGGGAAATTAGATGAAGAAATCAAAATTATGATGCAGTCAAGCAAACCAAGTACTGGGACACAGCTAGTCCCCCCTCTCAAGCATCTGACAAACTCAATCAGCACAAAGAAACATTTCATACAAAGCCTATTCATTCCCATCCTATGCTACCAGTGCCAGACATGGTCACTTACAACAAATCAGAAAAGGCAATTAGTAAGTAACAATGAAAATGATGAGATTTCTGAGAAAGGCTGCAGGAGAGACCAGAAGAGATAAAGTCAGGAATAAGAACATGGAGAAAGAGTTGGCACATAACCAAATTCTAAATTACAAAGACAGCAAATCAAGAGAGAATGCCTTGTGACACGATACCATGCAAGGCATACTTGCAAAGAGGAGAAGAATATGTAGCACAGGGTATACCAAGATAAGATGGAAAGATAACACTAGAGAAACTATACAAGATTACAATGTGTGTATGGTCGAGGTGGTCAGAAGAGCAAGAAGCAGACCTTTAAATCTCCCATGACACTAAAAGTGGTAGAGGAAAAGGTAAGAAGAAAAAACAGAGTATCAGTATTTAGAAGGCTTTTGTCTTCACTTTATTATTATACCTCTCAGACCTCAGAGTTAAAATCTCTTATAAAAGTGTGCCAGTGTGTAACCAGGACTCATAAGAGAAACAAAGAATAAAAACCCTTCAATCTACAATGCACATCAAGGAAAGTGACAAAGAAGTTGGCTACCCAATCCAGAAGAAACTTTACTGCCAAAATACAACCAGAAAACAAGCCCACAAAGGGTTGAAATGAGATATGAAAGATAGTTGAAGAAATTAGTGTCAGTTTATGATATTTCTTACAGTTTTTAGTAGAATGAATATGGCCAACACATATTTATTTACATTCACTATTGTAAGCTGGACAGAACTGTAGAAGGGGACTAACTATCATAAAGTTATTGTGTGCGTATGTGTGTGAGTAAGAGAGAGAGAGACAGAAAGAGACAGAGAAAGAGAGGAGGGAGAGAGAGTCAGAGAGAGACACGAATCACCCAAATCTGTCACACCTATGATGTAGATGGTATATCACTCAGCGGTGTCTTGTTTGCTGAAACAAATTATAATATAATCTTGCCTTGAAAGTTTATCAATAGAATTTTTTTTTCTTCCATCATGTGGAATTTGTTCACTTTGTGCCATCAGGTTTCCAAAATAGTTTGTTGACCCATAAATCATGCTCAAAACCTCCTGTTGGATAGAGTTTCCCAGGATAATTTTAGTAACCGTAAATGTAACAAAGTTTGCTTTACTCTGAGCAATATGCTGATTGGCTTGTCAAGGGTAATTTTCACTGCACATTCATATAAGTGCTTCAGTCTCCTCTACAGATCCCAGGAGACTCTAATACACTGTATCAACTTTCAAAGAATACCTTCACACTGAATATTTCAGCATTTTTCACTTACAAATGGAATGTCTCATTGTACTTGGGGCTCCAATTATTAGACTTGGACTTTGTAGCAAACTTCCTTTTCTTATCATTCAAGTGTGGACCAATCAGATGAACTTCCACAAAAGGCCGGAACATGCCAGTTGTTCTCCACTTCAGATCATTACAAGCAACCACTACAAGGAAAAAAAAAAAAAACAGTAAACTTACAAGTTTTAAAATAGTCTACAAAACAATAGCAAAAAAGCACAACAGTCTCATGGTGACATTAACACTTTCAATCCCTAACAACATAATCATGTGTGATTAGCTGTTGTCTATACATGTTCCGAGCTGTGCAAGATCTGACTGGAAGTGTCATTCAGAAACTGAACCAGTTATTTCACTATAATGAACACAGTTAAGTACAAAACAAATACCCATGCATACTATATTTGCTTCTTTTGTGCAGTGATTAAAGTATGCATGCTTTATTAATTGTCGCTGTGGTTACCTTTAAGCAACACAAGCAAAATCATCAGGGACTTGAAGGACAGAAGTAGTATAAAACATGGAATACATATGTCATCATTGTTGATGCTAATATACGTGTGACTGTATGAAAGAAGTCAGCATTATAAATAACAGTTTTTAGCAAATGGCAGCCTGATGACTTCCAGGAGTCTATGAAACAAACTAAGGGGTCCCTGACAACTTTCAAATGAGCTTTTGAATTAAAATGTTACAGAAAGGTTCTCAGTATACCATGGATCAAGAAGAGGATAAACATCAACATTCTACACGAGTTAAACATCCAGGAGAACTGGCTCATAAACAGCATCCTGTCCCAAAAGCGTAAGTATTTTGGCCACATCAAACCTCATGGTGGCTTGGAAAAGAAGGTGATGGAGGATGCAGTTTGCGGAAGGCAGATGTCAACCTCCGCGAAAGATTGATACAGGACACTGAAGATGCATTGGCACTGAAAGCAAATGGGGCTGGAGAGCTGGCTAGGGACAGGGATACTTTCATGCATGCCATGAAGATAGCCACCTGCTGATTGGCAATGACAACATAAAAAAAAAAAAATTTAAATCAAAACAAAAAAAACCCTTTAAACTTTAGAAAGCAACCCTCTTTACGATTTTAAAATGTATAAATTAAAAATTCTTCAGCGATGGGGTTTGATGCTGACCACATCATCCATGGAGGGCCAATTAATCAATAAAGAATATGAGTGTAGCCCTATATGCCCGCTGTGCCACTCGTGTGTAAAGGGACCTTTACTCACTTGACTTCTGAGTTTTTTTGTACGACTATTGCACAAATATGAGGTCCCTGGTAGAGCGTTGAAAATAAGAAGGGTGTGCAGGTCTGAGTTACCACCAGTACATGACAGAAGCAGGAAATTATGTGGCAGGAGTATGGTAGCTATTTAAGAGATATATGAAAGAAATGAGGGTCTATGCTCCACTTGGGGATTACTGGCAAAGCAGGAAAATATGATATATATATATATATATATATATATATATATATATATATATATATATATATATATATATATATATATATATATATATATATATATATATATATATATATTATATATATATATATATATATATATATATATATATATATGTGTGTGTGTGTAAATGTGTGAATGTATATATGTGTGTATATGTATATTATGAGTGTGTGTGCATGTGTACATGCATGCGTGTGCGTGTGTGTATATGCATGTGTGTGTGTGTGGTTTGCATTATAAGGAATTACTGCATGTGATCTGTGTACTAAGATATCATTTGTGATAATGTTTAACCTTGGGAAAGGCAAGATGTATACACAGTCAGAGAGTTACTTGTACCATCAGAATAGTAACTCTTTGCTTGCTGCTGAAGATGGGGACGAAGCGCTTATTGGGGTGTCCCGAGTGCTGTAATGTTGATTCTTAATACAACATTCAACCTGTGCTTTTAAACAGTGGGTAAATTAAGAATAGAGGAGAAAATAAACTTGATTGCATCACTGCTGTCAAATGTTAACTTCCCTGTGACATGTCCTGACTAGTTTCTAATGAGGCCATTCAGTGACCAATCACAAGCACTGACCTCTGACCGTGACCCTGTGCTCTCCTGTACCAGGGTGCGTAGTGAAGTCCACCTGGATAGAGACTTCTCCTACAGGGTCCTCCTGACCTGGTTTTTCTGATATGTGAAATAAAAATACTGTGTTAATTCACATTAATAGACTATGATATATGTTTGTGTGTGATTGTGCTGCATTTGTTTGCATGCATGTATATGTGTGAGATTGTGGTGCGTTTGTATGTATGCATGTAAGTGCATATGTGTATGTGATTGTGTTGCATTTGTATGCACGCATGTATGTGCATGTGTGTGTATATAACTGACAAATTATAAACAGATGTACTTTTAAGTGTCAATAAAGGCAAACTTATTTATCGATCCACTATTCTGAAGTCCTATATTTCTCTAAGTAACAACTGCATTCTACTAACACACAAGAATGTTCTTATTACAATGCTTGTATTCTAACTTTCAAACATTAGTATATTTTATTATATTACCGATAAAACCTTCCTGGTATAAAGGTTATTATACTGTTTAACTTTGAGACCTTGCTATTGTAATGTTTTTAATTATATTTTTATTTTCAGAGCTGCTTTATGTTGTTGTTTTAAGTTCAAATTCTTGTATTTTGTTAAGGGCATCAAAATATTTACACTCTGAATCTTCACTTTAATTAGGAACAACCAGACCTTTCTGTCAGGGTTTACAGCCAGTGAACCTGAAGAAGAAGAAACAATCTGAAATGAAGCCAGCACATATATGGAGCCAGAGACGTCACATTCCTCACCTTGCTGTGTCTGTGTGTTGACAAAAGTCTTAATGAGAGTGTCTGTTGTTTGAGTGTACAAACTTAAGGCATATCGCAAGGACTGTAACTCTGGGCTTTTGTCCAAAAATGCCTTTTTTAGACCCTAAAAGAGGAAAAACAATTGGATGAATAAAAAAAGAATGTGGATAGCAACAAAACAATTTCATTGGTTTATTGCATAAATCAATTTCATGTAAGCAACACTGCACAATGCAATACTAAACAAGTTATCACTGCACAAGGCAAAAATTACATCTAGCAACACTAGCAGAAATGTAATACTGTTTAACTAATATTTTACAATCTAAATGATAATTATTACATTCCCTTGTGGGATACAATTTTTTGTTATTTGAAGCCCAGCCTGGCTTTTGCCGGGGGACTTGAGCACAAAGCCTGGGCAATATTGCAGAGACCATATGTTGCCCATGCATCATGATCCCTGTCTCGACCTGCCTTGTTTACTCCAAAGGAAAGGTAACACCAGTACGCTTGGAACAAAGCAGGCTGCATAAGCTGGTGGATCAGAAGAGCAGTGCTCTATCTGCCCGCCTCTCGGAGCTTTCCTCCTAGACCAGCTGCCAGCCAAGGTTAAAGGCCTGGTCTGCCCTGGGTGGTGGTGGGGTACAACAAGCAAGCAGTCAACATTCCCCCCTCCTCCCCACCATCACCCCCGATTCTTGCCTGGGGTATAGAGGTGCTACATTGTCTGCTGACCTACTAACAGCTGTCCTGTTGTAATCTGCCAGATTTAGGTAAGTGAAGTGATTCATGGATGACCAAATTTGAACACCCATGAAGTGGGTGAATGAAGCTGTCTGCTACAATGCAGCCATCTTTAGACAACTTTCAGTACTTCCAGCACAAACTGATGCAAAATTTTTAAAAAAGAAAATGATGCACATTATCAGATTAAATCTTTGATTCCCAGGGGGTTTGGCATCAGAGGCCTAAGAGGTAGTCAAATGAGTCATAAAATTGGCGCCTCTTGCATTCATTGGGCCTCTAGGTAGGAACCTATGAACGTATGATACGTTCCTTGGGACTCAAAGAGTTAAAAAAGTGACACAGGTATGTAGACACTGTCCTCCGGTGTGCGTCGTTCAGTTTATAAGTGCAATTTTTACTGAGATCACCGAGGATATTCATTGGAGCTACAGATTTTGCACTTTGAGAGATGTTCTCGCTGGTGGCTAGTGATCTGCGGAAAGAGACAAAGTTTTATAAGATAATGTAGGACAATGAAGATGATCCTCTTGAATGAAACTTTAACACTATCTCCAACCAATTCTGAGCAGTCAGTATATGGTACTTTAATGCCTACATACAAGGACAATCTTCATTAACTGTAAAGCTGTCAGTTTTTGTTTTGATCAAGGCTAGGCATCAAACCCACTACCCTGGATAAGAAAGGTATCTTCACTAATGGAGACAGAACTTTGATTCAGGCAGTGATGAACACCCTGCTACCATGACTGCAGAATCAATAAATGGGACCAAAGAACCTCTTACCTGTCCACCTGCATGGAAGTACTGCTTGATCGTGTCCAGGGCCATGTCTAGAACAGCACACTGTTTGGGACTTAGATTCTTTTCTGCTTCCTTTGACATATCCTGGGGAGTGTATGTATTTTTTGTTTATAAACCTATACGAATATTACGACACATATAACCATAACAGAAAATATACAAAGTACACAATCTGTAGCAAGCGAATATACAACAGTCTTATTCCTTACAATATAAGATATCCATAATTTGTATGATTATCACATTTGTATCTGTGTAGGGGCATACAAATAGTTACCAGCTCTTTGAAAAATTCCCCCTGTCACTGACAAGCTTAAACATGGTTTTCTAGCAAAAAGGAAAACAACTAAATCTAACCTCACTAATCATCATCATATGCTATGCCAGTAAGCATAGGCTGTCATGTTGCGTTATCTCACACAATCACCAGAACCTCGAATCGGGTCCGTGCTCTCAACTCACCCCATCCATATGGCCGAACCATACAGGTATTTATCTCTTTGCCGTCTCTTTGCCCTTTCCCCATCAATCTCATCAGCTGACACAAAATTCTTGAGTCTACTGCTTCTCAAAACAAGTCTGAAAGACAGAGACTATACCTCACCAATGCCAGGTTGGAATCTGCTGGCTGTAAAATTGCTAAAACTCAAGGAAGAATGAATAAATCAAGAATTGACATCACAGTTCTTGGGACATTCACACACATGCTCTGTCTCCTTCCTCAGAAGCTAACAAATAGTCGACATGCTACAGTACCAGCTGCATCTTGATCAAAAGTCTGCCTATGTTTCCCCTCAGCGCTGAATACCTTCCATACCTTCTACTCACCCCTAACCACCCCCCCCCCCCCCCTGTTGAATTAGTCTTTCAATATAGGATTCACTGTCTGTTCTATTGAACTGCCCATTTGATTCCACAAAGCCTTCACTTAGTTTGCTTTATCATAAAGTAGTTCAGCACACAGAGGAGTGACAGCAGCCAAACCTATTAGCCTGCTCATTATCTTGCATACCCAAATATCCTGGACAGATGGAAGACACAATAACAATCTAGACCTAATACTAGGCAGCTTTGTGCTGTTCAGAACCATGAGCTGATAATACGTGTATGCCTCTCCAAGGATGTGCAGTTTCAGCACTTTTTCCTACCCCATGTGGATTCTGCGGCCCCACTGGGGTTGAGGAGAAAAGGGGGGGGGGGGGGGGGGGGGAGACAGACCAACTGCTCCTTAAACAGCTTGTAAACAGCCTGTCATAAACAGCAACTAATTAAAGATTTGCTGACAATCTTTGTTCGCCCTTAAAAATCAGTTGTCACATTGTGTTGTGGTTTGCATGTAGGATGCGATATCTGTGCATTTTGGACTAACACATTCAATATCAGCTAGTCCCTATTTAGTGACCTTTTTATCTTTTTCTTTGCGTTTACCAGTTTTAAACTCTGGTGCAAAGTTCTGGTTGATCATCCACTTCTTGACTTCAGTCCTGTTTCAGAACTTTTGTGTGCACATCTGTTTTACAGATCTTGCTTATGTGCATTCAGACTACCGGTTCCTTGCCTCTTAGGCAGATGCACTCTGAATGAGAACTGAGGTGACTTTTACGACAAGCTTGTTAGGGTGGCAGAGGGGTCCCCAGAACCCACACTGGGAAAAACAATTTGTCCCAGATGCTCTATTATTAAAAACAAGATTCATCGCTGAAAAATCTTTCCTGTTGACCAGACCACTGTAATTTATCCAGATCTGAGTTTCAACAGTTAGATAAATGTTTTCTTTCAAAAAACAAATATATGCATTTGTTTTCTGCAAAAAGAAAATTAAAAACAATGTAATTTCTGCAAGAATGAGAATAAATATACAGCATGAGCTTTCTGCAAAAAGAAAATATACAATACATAAAAATATATAATTCATGCCGAAAGCTCTGTATCGTCTTCACCATATTTGTATCATCATCATCATCATCAGGTGCCTTGCTGACTGGCGTGGGCGATCATGCCTCTCCATAATCCACGATCTCCTGCAGCATGTATCAGTTCGTGTGCAGACACACCTCCATGCCATGCAACAAGACTGTCAAGAATCTTCTCTCGCTGTCTTCCTCTATCCCTCCTTCCACAGATCTTTCCAGTGGTCCCAACATGTTCTGTTTTCCCTCTTCTCATAACATGGCTGAAAAATGATGACTGTTCCCTTCTGATGTCTGTGATAAGTTGTCTTTGGGCTCCCGCCTCTTTCAAAACCTCTTGGTTGCTCTTTTTGACTGTCCATATTTGTATAGGAGAATATAAATCACAATCTGTGATAAACTGCATGTAAAAAATTGTATCTACACAAAGTGGTATACAAACACACATCTACAAGCAACTACATACTGCTTAAAGAAACAGTCTAACTATCAGTGCAAACTAAACTAAAAACAGCCTAGCAAATCTACCACTGCAAACCAATCTCAGAGTAGAAATAGTGATACTATATGTGTAAGAATGATAGAGTGTGCTATCTACATAAAATGATATAACAAAGAGAACAATGAAGATAAACAGAAAGAAGTACAATTCTTTAGACATTTACTTGTCACGTTACATTAAAACTGTACTAAGAAATACATTTCTTCGGACATTTACCTGTCATCTTACATTAAAACTGTACTAAGAAATACATTTCTTCGGACATTTATCTGTCATCTTACATTAAAACTGTACTAAGAAATACATTTCTCTGGACTTTTACCTGTCATCTTACATTAAAACTGTACTAAGAAATACATTTCTTTGGACCTTTACCTGTCATCTTACATTAAAACTGTACTAAGAAATACATTTCTTTGGACATTTACCTGTCATCTTACATTAAAACTGTACTAAGAAATACATTTCTTTGGACATTTACCTGTCATCTTACATTAAAACTGTACTAAGAAATACATTTCTCTGGACTTTTACCTGTCATCTTACATTAAAACTGTACTAAGAAATACATTTCTTTGGACCTTTACCTGTCATCTTACATTAAAACTGTACTAAGAAATACATTTCTTTGGACATTTACCTGTCATCTTACATTAAAACTGTACTAAGAAATACATTTCTTTGGACATTTACCTGTCATCTTACATTAAAACTGTACCCTCATATAGACCCTCTTGTTGTTTGGATATAAGAGTCAACAGCAGGACCATCTTTAATTCATTTGAAATGATCCGGTGTTTCCCCTCATAGTGCGGAAAACACACACAAGAATAGACCTAAAGCCTTTTAACAAGCATAGGCTCTTATCTTATATTTTACCCCATCTCGAGGGCTCCGAGATTTTATAGGGAATACCAAGGCAAGTACAATATCCAGCATTATGAAAAAAAAAAATAGGGGGGGGGGGGGAATGGTTCTCTTTAGTTGGTGTTCATTACACACCCTAACACCCCTATAATACTTGACTTTCCTGGGAATTCCCCACAAAATTTTGAAGCTCTAGAGATGTGGCAAAATAAAAGAACCCAATCATGTTCTAAAAGGCAACCAATTAAAGGTTACCTGGGCTGAAAAGTTCAGATATCACAGCCTAGCTGTAAACCACAATGTGCCAAGTACCTGTTAAGGGTGAATGCAGACAAAGAAGAAGAAAACTGAACACTGAAAAGAATAAACACAGCAATTTTACTGTTAGCTTCTCCAGTTTCTTCACTTCATGACTGAAGTAACTTCACAAATCTAGCTTCATTTAAAACAAAAACAAGTTCTTAGCACAGCAATTCTAAAACCGTTGTTAGAAGGAAAAAAAAAAAAAAAAACACTTTAAAAAAAAAAGAAGACAATTAACACTAAAAACAAGGTCTTTAAAGACAGATTGATTTTATGCCCTCATAATACTGAATAAGATCTGACAGCAGGTAATCTAGAAGATGTAGATATGTGCAATAAATTAGTTTGTGTGTGTGTGTGTGACTTGTTTTAATGTCAACAATCTTTCCATCTTTTTATGCAATATATTCCCTGTAAAGAAGCAACAGAAAAGTACAGACACTCATAGTTTTAAAGTCAACAATTTATTCTATATTCTGTCTTTTTCCCCTTGATCAGATAGAAATGTAAATTTGATGGAACAAGACTAGAACCCAGGGGTGGACTAACAACTAGAATGTTTAGCTGGAGTTAACAGCTGCTAAATGCAAAGAAGAAGAGGATTAGTGCTGTGACAGGATATGATCTGTGGTAACCTAGAGCTCATCTCTGTTGAGATCAGTGGCTCTTAATTAGATAAAAACAGTGGATCCCCTCTTATTCTCAAAAATCTGCCACAATTTTTACTAGTCATATTAGGGAAACATATCACATTTGATAAATATTAGAATCATAAATGGATTACATTCTTCCTCTTCTGCATTCACTGTTAAAAGGGCTGTTGGCACATTGTGTTGTAGTCTACAGCTGGGCTATACAGACAGCATGACACCAGAACCCACAAGGACAGACTACCATTTTCTTCTTCTTCCTCTTCTGTATTCACTAAAAAGGGCTGTTGGCACATTGTGTTTCAGTCTATAGCTGGGCTATACAGACCGCATGACACCAAAATCCACAAGGACAGACTACCATTTTCTTCTTCTTCCTCTTCTGTATTCACTAAAAAGGGCTGTTGGCACATTGTGTTGTAGTCTATAGCTGGGCTATACAGACAGCATGACACCAGAATCCACAAGGACAGATTACAGTCTTTTTCTTCTTCTTCTTAGCGCTCACCAGCCCAGCTGTAAATTATGGCAGAAAGACTTGGTTGCTTGTTTTTTGTGAGCACATTTACGAGCTGGATTGTATGCAGATTTACTCCAATGAAGGAAACGCGCACTCCAATGAAGGAAACGCCTCTAACTAATTAACTTTTACGACATGCCTATTAGGTAGGGGGTTAGTGGGTCTATTCATTCCCCCCCCACCCAAATGGGACCCCAGAACCCACAGGGGGAAGAATACATTCAAAAGCTGCTGTGTTTTTTGTTTAGCTTTTGTAAATAATATCTCTAATCCCTTAAATTTGTTCCCACGATCTCATAGGGGTCTAAGGACACCAAATGAGAAACATTGCCTTAGATTATAGAGAATGACTATTAGTACACAACATCAAACACTAGTGCCACACAAGAGGTGAAATAACATGGGGCTAATAGCAACTAAAGCAAGAAGCACTTTGACAAGTGGGAATGAGCAACGCCAAAACAAAATTAATGTTTGCTAGGTGCAAAGTACCAAGAAAGTGGCCTGAATGCTCTTGACCTGCTTCATGGGAGCATTCATAGGCATCTGACTGACATGGTTGAGTAGGATGCGGGACATGTCCTCTATCTTGGCCTGGGCATTGCTAGAGAGAGGCAACAGCTGAAACAAAAGGGAATGGAGGCAGGGAACCATCACCATAGTTGCAGAAAAAAAAAAGGAAAAACAAATTTATTTTGTGTAAAGGGGCAGCCGCCATGGTGTATCGGCTAGATGCTTGCCTTAGGCCTAAAGACTGTAGGTTCAAATCTGCATCGAACCTGATTTTTAAAAAAAAATGACTTTAGCTCCCAGGTCGACCCAGCTTAAAATAGGTACCAGAAAAAGTCATAGGAAGTAAAGGCAGCCAATGACTTTTGACCGCTCTCAGGTCGACCCAGCTTAAAATAAGTTCCAGAAAAAGTCATAGGAAGTAAAGGCAGCCAATGTGATCTTGACCGTACACCCACAAAGTGCCAATTGGTCTTTATAATACAGGTCTTGCACTATATGCCCAATATGCCTAAAGACATGGAAAAGGGTCCTTTTGTGTAACTGTAACTGTCATGTGATTGCTCGACCGTGATCAACAAAAACTGCTAGCTAGCATATGGATATTTTTATTTAAGACAGATTCTGACTCAGAAAGGTGGTTGACTTGATACTGACCATAAGACGACTTACTGAGTGCCAATCAATCTATACAGAGGAGCTTGCACAATTTATCTCAAAGTGTGAAAAAGTTCTAAAACTTATTGCTAACTGATGGATTTTGTCTTAACAATGTTCCTCTTGAGATTAGATTCTTGCCTGATAAATCCAGCTTAGATTTATTAAAGCATATTCATCGATTCACTAAGAATGCATTCGTGTGTGAACTTTTGAGTACCAAGCCATGCTAATGCCCATGTCACAGCCATAGTTAAGAATGTTTCTATGTAAGACAAAGGGAACCCCTAGACAAGAGAAATGTGCACTATATTTTATACTTAGTATATTCTCAGTTTCATATAGCAGGATAGAGCACACTTAAGAATAAAAAAGAAATAAAAAGACTTTCTTTATTAACAATTTGTAAGGAGTGAAGAATGATTTGAAAAGAAATTGTGCATTGGTTATCTCTGGAAAGACAAAGTCTTTTGAATAAACTTGTTATAGTCAGTGCCATGTGGTGCTGGTAGTCATGTCTGTCTACAACTTTCTCACTTCTGCACTGTCAATCACTTCTAATACAGATGCTCTTTCATGTCATGAGGTCCAACCATCCAGTGTCTTTTACTTGGTCTCCCTGTGAACCTGTAGTTTTGTTTTGTTTGAACTTTCCCATTGTCACAAGGCAATGCACACAGAATGTGGACTGTCTTCTTCTAAAGTGGGAAATAGTTCTCTCTGTGAGTTAGTTAACTGAATTCAGGATATCTGTATTTCATAAATCTGATTGGTCTAATGCAGTGTTTCCTAAACTTTTCTTAGTGGCGGCGCCTTGTTTAAAATAACATGTTTCCACGGTGCCTTAACCTAAGTGAATCTATGACTATTTGTATGTGGGAGATTTAAAAAAAAAATCGCATATCTTCAAATATTTTGCGATGCCCTTGTGAAGAGGCCGTGGCTGTCCGGGGCGCTGCGTCGCACAGTTTGGGAATCACTAGTCTAGGGTGTTCTCCTCAGTCTTCTGTAAAACCGCATTTTTGCAGCATCCAAAGTTGTTCACTAATGGGCTGATTGTCCATGATCCCCTTCCATGTATCATAACTGGCTTCATTTAGCTCTTAAGAACCCTCTTTCTCACCTCAACTGACATGGACAGATTGCACATCCCATTAGTGAAGTGCTGAATTTGCTTCAGCTGTTAGAAGTTAGTAGCGTATCTTTTACAGGACGTTGCAGAACCAACCCAGCATTTATTGGCTGTTGTGGTTTTTCTAGGCAAATTTTACGTTCAGTAGTTTGAGCTACAGTAAATTTAAATTCTTTAATACATTTTCCAGCTGCTGTTATTAGGGTTCCTAAATACTTAACACATCAACTTGCTTCAGACTTGAATAATTCACTTTGATGTTGCCTTTTTTCTTTGTAATTACCACTACTTCTTTAGACTAATTGAGATTGGGACACCGACTGACTGACTTTCTACCCCACCAGGACATCACACAAGCGACAAACACCCGATGACACAAAGTGCCACCATGTGGATGAGGATTGCCGTGGAGAGGTCACAGAAACGGTGTTAAGACAATTGGCCATATTTATGGCCTGCCTATATTGATGCCCCTGGCAAAAACCAGGGTGGGGCTTCAAAAAACAAAAAATTTCGTCCTCAAAAGGACAAAACACCTATTGCTAGGTGGGTTGTTCAATATAAGATTGGGGCATGATCTCACTGCTTTTCATACAAACCAATGAGGACCATCACCAAGCTTTCCAAGAAAAAAAGTAACTCTTACCACTTCTCTTGTACCTGATGACTAAATGTTTAAAATATCTAATGCTTAATACTTTCAACTACTAGTGACAATTTATAATTTCTTCAACATCACTGTGGATATAAAATAAGATAATCTTAAGAAATTCTATTTAGTCATATCAGTTATTTAGTCTCACAATGTGCATGAAGTTTCTGAATATGCCCCTTTATTTATGACATTGATATTAACTTGATTTCTAATATGTGACACTGATCGCTGTCTGACAAAGTATATTACGAGTATAAACAATAATGGTTTAGAAAGAACAGTAATTGAAATTATGATTTTAGAGATCGACCAGCACAGAACAGAGGATTTCAAGGAACCCTTAGGCATAAGTTCACAGGCTGGAAAGATAGGTGAGGAATGAGTGGCTTTCTGCCAAGCCATGAATAGGGTAATTCTGAAAGGTTCTACTACATGATGATATAGTGATTCCCTTACACCAACACAGGCAGTTTTCTGCCTTTGAAAGCAACTGGGAGGTTTTACTACATGATGATATAGTGATTCTCTTCTACACCAACACAGGCAGTTTATGACTTCTGTCTTTGACAGCAATCTGTTTGCTGTCAGAACAAACGACTGTTTTGCTCAGCCTCGTGCCGGCCACCTTTACTTCCCAGAATTTACCTGCTACCAATTTTATGCTCGGTCGACCGGCAACTACATGTGGATTTGAACATAGGACCTTCACACCAGCAGGTAAGAGTAAAAGAACAAAGGCAGACCCACAAATTAAAAAGGGAATTACAGAATGAGGTGAAATAGATGAGGAGGACATTAGGTAAGCATCTGGTTAGAGGGTCTTTGCTTCATTCAGGTAAAAGGCAGAAAAACAAGAAGAAAAGTTGATAGGGTTAAAATCTTGGCGACTGCAATATTACCAATATTCTATGGTACTGAGTATTCTCTGATGCCTGCTTCTTTTCCTTCATTTGTGATTTTCTGTGATAGCTTTGACAACTGTAAACTCTTAGCATGCATGCTAAAAAAAACTTCATCAAAGTCATTTCTGGATGTAAGTTTTGGAGCACGAACGAAATTGGTAATCTGAAACTCATTGCTTCTGATCACCTTTTAACTGATGATTTCAACACATAGACTACTAGAAGAAATGTGCAGCAACGGAAGGATGAGTTACACTTTGACTAAAGTAGCACTTGTAGAGTCAGTTACTGGAGTCATTAAGTGAAGCGGAGTAAATTTTAGGCTACTTTGTTTAGCAACTCCAAGTGGCGTATGGTGTGAAAATTTGTCATTTCAGACTCAAAGTTTGGATATAATATCAGCTCAGAAAATATGAACATATTCTGTTATTGATATAGTTATGTGGCAGAACAACAATTAGATCAAAGAATGGACAAGACAGGATGGAGTTCCAGTTAATGAAAACAGTTGTAAACACAATAGACAGGATGTAATTTAGCATCATGTTTAAATATGTCACCTATAATCTAAGAGTTAATTTAAGTCAGAAACATATGACTACAGTGTAAAAAATATCAGAATAAACATATGCAAATAAATTCTCTATTATGTGAGACACATGAATATATTTAAAAAAGTATAATATTCACAACTAATGGAGAGCAAAATATATGTTCTAATTTTAGTAAATTTAGTAAATTTGAAAAGCTGGCTTTAGTTTAGGCATATTTTACAAATGTTAACAATATACACAATGAAACACACACAAACTGAAAAGTAATTCTTTTTTTTCTTCATATTCTGGTTGCACACTGATATACTCCTCCACACAATCACACAATTTCATTTAAAGAATAAACAATATACCATTAAACCATTCAAGGTTTTTTAGCTTTAAATAGCCTCAATATGCTTTCACTTAACTATTTCTTCTAGGTTCAAGTGTGCAGGTTATCAGCTACACTTTGTATGTGTGGAGGCCTGATGCCTCACATCCTTACACAAGAAGCTAATGTGTGGTTGATTTTCCTTACATTCTTATACACCACTTATGTGCTGGCATGCTACCTGAATAAAATTCATCATCTTCCGTGGATTACTGTCATATCACCAAAATTCAAATAAATTCTGCTAAATTCTGGATATTTTCCTAGTTGAAAGAAAATAAGCCAGCAAGTCAGATTTATTTTAGGTTCCCTAAATAGTAAAGTAAGTAAGTAAAGTAAAGGTTCCTTTTCCACACCTTTAGGCGTATAGGGCATATAGGGCTACACCTGTATTTTATAGACCAATTGGCACAAGATGGATGATGTGGTCAGCATCATGCCGGCCGTCTTTACTTCCTGGGACCGCACCTGGTAACCACTCAAGGTTGGGTCAACCTGGGAGTCAAGGTCATTTTTGAAAAAAGTCTGGCTCAACCAGGGAACAAACCCACAACCTTCCAATCAGCACACGAGCGTCTAGCCGCTATGACACGGTGACTCCCTCCCTAAATGGTGCCATTCCTTATCTAGGTCTCGGTCTACCTAGCCTGACTGAATTATGTGTCATTTCTTTTCTTAAGACTTGCACGTGACTGGCTGAATTATGAAGCAATGATTTTTTAAATCTGATTAGTTTCTAAGTTAAGGATGGGTTGATTATTATATAACTCTTTTTTTGCTTCCCTTATGGGCTCCATTAACACATATATATGTAGTCATAGTGCTATAACATCACATGCCAATGGGTCACCAGTTGCCACTGACAGTCTAATCAGTTCCCTCCACCTCTTGTCAGTCAAATGAACCAGATTTGATGTTTTCATATTTGACATCTGTCCTGCCCACCAAATTTAGGTCTTTCTTGGTCTGCCTCTTCATCCTCAGCTTTAGCTCTTTAGTATCACTTTGATAAATATGGTTAGAAAATGCATAGAAACCATACAGCTTTGAATGTTAAATATATAATTACATCTTCAGCTCAAGATTTACCTGTCTAGGATCTGACAGTGGGGGAAGGACAACAGTCTTCTCCATAGTGTGCATGACAATCTTCCACAGCTCCTGTCAGCAGAAAACAAAAATTGCATAAGCTCAGATCAAAGCCACAAGTGTTGTCTTGAGACAGTTTGTAACTCTGTCTTTCTGTCTGTCCATCTCTCTCTCTTTCTCTGTCTATAGAGACTGATTCACGTCTCCATTGATCCACACATAAACTAATGTAAAATGACAATTTACTGTGGTAGAAAGTGTTAACAAATATATAAGACTGAAGTAACCAATGAAGTTACAGTGTGCATGCACTAGCTAATCTTTTCACAGCAGTTATCAAAAAAAAAAAAAAAAAACATGCTCCTTTTATATAAATTATAAAACCCCTCCACCCCAACAAAAATCCTTAGAAAAAATTGGCCATTTTAAATCAATTTATCATTCAAAACACAAATACTACAGTAGTAGGGGGAGTAATGAATAAAAACAAATGCAGCATATAATCAACTGGCTTACATCCCTTGGTGCCAATACAATAATTATAGCCTGACACTTACCTGACCTTGTGCCCTGGTTACCATTGTTGTTTATGGGGGAAAAAAATTGGAATTTCTACCACCATCATCATCCTAGCAGGTCTTTTGCAGGACGTCACTGTCATCATGTTCTGCCCAAGAGAAACTGTCTCTTGCTAGCTCTCCTGCCTCAAACACTTTCCTATCCAAGGGGTAATTTACATCATACAGCTGGGTGGCCCTTGCCCCTCTTTCTTGATAACATGCCTTCTGCTTTTTTCTTTCTAATCTTTTCAAACATCTGAGTTTCCGAGACAAAATGCTGTTTACTAGGCAATCTTCCTTGATGTTCAGCTCTTTTAGATGTCAGTATTTCTCTAAAGTAATTAAGATATTCCTGAAACTGGATGTGTATGGTCAGAAGCTGCAAATATCACATTCTAGCTGTCAGTCGAGGAAAAGAATGGATGGATACACCAGAACACATGCATGACTTGCCCAAGGTTGCCATAACACTGGAGAGGTACTGCAGGAGTCAGATACCTGCCATTGTAGACGGAGATTAGGGCACTGAAACATTATCCTTCTCACACCATCTGGGCTGTGATTGGGATGGGTATATATGATTTATCAGTTATTGAAAAGTTTACCTTCAGCAATCTCTTGAGGACAGTTTTCTCACAGACTTGGGCAAACATGGAGAGGCTGATGTTGGCAGACCAGCAGTGAATGGCCACACAAGCAGGTGGAAGGTGAAACACAAAGCATGCTATTAATTACGACATTACCCAGCATCTTTATAAAACATTTCATAGTTGGTACTGAGCATGAACTGTTTTATAAGTTAATGTTACATGTTATACACAGCACATAAACAATGCATTGTGTTATCAAAGTATTTTTTCTCTCCTCCTCTTTCATTCTTTTCTTTCTTCATCCCCTTCGCCAGATCATGCTGTTAGTTAATGCATTCCTCAACATCTTTATAAACATGTAATAGTTGGCACTTAGTATGAGCTATATTTTAATTTGATTTAACATGTTAGTGACAGCAAATACACAATATTTTTGTCATTCAGGTACCTTCTTTCTCATTTAAAAAAAAATCTTGTTTTTCTCTCATTTCTCTTTCTTCCTTCTCTTTATTCTCCCCTTCGTCTAAAAAGAAAAACCCCACACACATGGAGAACAGAATTAAATACAGAGGCAAATGTGATATTAAAGACACTGTGTGAGCTGCATTTAAATACTGTTGGTCAAAATGTTAACAAATTGACATTATGGTTAACACCTTCTATTCTGTCATATTAAGGGAGCTAATTAGAATATGTTAGTTAATCTTTACTAATAAGCACAGATTTCATATGTGGACAAGCTGTGAGAAGGCAATTAATTTTAAAAAAAAAATGTTGTGTTAGTCAGTTACACAAGACTATTACAAAAGAAAAAGGTGACATAGTTACAAACAAATAAAGAAAGTAAAATCAAGGAGAAATATGCTTTCACTTAACTATTTCTTCTAGGCTCAAGTGTGCAGGTTATCAGCTACACTTTGTATGTGTGGAGGCCTGATACCTCACATTCTTACAAAAGAAGCTAATGTGTGGTTGATTTTCATTACATTCTTATACACCACTTATGTGCTGGCATGCTACCTGAATAAAATTCATCATCTTCCGTGGATTACTGTCATATCCCCAAAATTCAAATAAACACACTTCCTGTGTGGGGTCCTGGCACCCATTTTCAGGGGAAAAGGGGGGGGGGGGTGGGTGTAGTGAAGATTAGACCTAGAGCCTCCCTAACAAGCATGTCGTTCAAGTTGACTAATCAGAGATCTCTCCTTTGAAGTCGGAGCGCATCTTCCTCTACAGCGAGGAATCAACCCAACAGTCTGCATACAAGTATGCCAGATCTGAAAAATGGATGTGAATGCAAAAGTCAAGTTCTGGAACATGACTGAAGACCAGAACTGGATGAAACAACTTTGCACCAGAGTTTACAGCCAGTGAAAGCCAAGAAGAAAACATATTTACACACGTTCTTACATCTCGCAAGCTATTCATTATTTGCAATGCAAGCACAAGTGATCATTGTGTATCACCTATAATGAAAATTAGAGTTCAGGATCATATATGTAATTTTTTTCTTATTATGCTATGTTGCTAAGCCATTCAGGCATGTAACCGATTTTCTTTTAATCTTTACTCATTATGTGTTGCTATAAAGTTTTAAAAAATAACAAACAAACAACAACAAAATCCCCCCCAAAAAAGGATCATTCTGAAACAGACCATTTTGTACTAGACCTATATTTTTAAACCAATTGGTATTCGAAGGGTCATGCTGTCAACATCAAACAAATTAGTTACCTTTACTTTCCCAGAACATTACCAGATACAAATGTAGGCTGAGTTGAGCTGGGAGCTAAAGTTAATTTAAAAAAGAAAAAAAATTGCCATCTTCAAAATGAAGACTGGCTGCTGTGCACTCACTGATTTTCTTAGGAATATTACATGGTGAGGCCCCAATCTCTACCATGGGGTGGCTTCAAAACCACTGTCTGAAATCCACAAGAAGTCCATTTGTTTCAATAAATAAACTGCCCACAAGGGAAATTGAATCCTAGTCCACATCTCTTTGGTGCTTTGCTTCAGTGTCGTTCCTGAATTGCTGCTGCAGTTCTAGCAGCTTCATGGGCTACAGCTCCTCGATAAAGAGATTGAGCGGTCACATGCAGTGACTTCCCAGTTTTAGAATCAACATAGAAGTCTTTCAGTGAGGTCTTGAAGTTGTCCTTGAAATGCTTTTTCTGTCCACCTTGAAAGCATTTTCCTTTTTATAGCTCACCACAGACAATTCTTTTTGGTAGATGGTGGTTCAGGCATGCAGACTATATGACCTGCCCAGTGAAGCTGTTTGTTTTAAATTATACATATAACCATAAATGGAAACAAACAATCATAAAAACCATAATTTAATTAGGAAACTGTGATCATCAGTTACAAAACAAAGCAAAATAAGGACCTGTATAAGAATACATGAAGAACATGCCTACCTGCCATCAAGTAAGTCCATTAAGGGTCTGAGCACCATGTCTGACTCCTGCTGGATGCTGGATCTCTGACTGGGCTGAGACAAAGATACCTGACCTCCACCTTTGACCTTCAACAACAAGGTGCCCAGTTCTTGCATGCTCTGTTGGATCTGGGGCTCTAGACTGTTGACATATACACGTAAAGGTAAAGAGCTCTTTCCTTGCCATTTGTGCATCATACATATAGTGGCACACACATATCTGTACATATGCATATTTTTACATAGACTAACTGGCACTCAGTGGGTGATAAGCCAACATTACATTGGTCAACTCAACTTTCAGTTAAGGATATCTCCATTTTAGGCAGGTTCAACCTGGCAGCCCAGGTCAGTTATAAAAATCTGCCTCAATGCAGATCTGACCTTTTCACTGGCAGGCAAACATAAATAAATAACGAATTCTCTGAACAAATCTAGGAAGATAAATGAGGGGGAAAGGATAAAGAAGATACACAGAAACAATCTAAAGCTTCAGTCAAAGTGTTTATCAATGAGACCATCAACAAGATGGACATGGGGGATAAAACCTGGAGCTGCAAACATTTCACCAAGGGGAGAAACATTTAATCAATCAACACAGGTCAGTTTACGCTTGTCAAGCTTTTGAGGAGGAGATCAGAGCACCTATGGATCTGTGTGGAGTGCTGTGAAGATAACCCTCACTAATCACCAACAAGAAGAAATAGAATCCTAAGCACCAACTCCCAGCAAGGAAATAACTAAGTAAAGAAGCAAATGTTTTGGCCAAAACCTTACTGAGGATTCAAACCTGGGTCGGCCCAGGATTGTTAGACTAACCATGCTTAGTAAGCATACTTTGGATTTTTTTTTTAAATGCCATGGTGGGTAATGAACAGGCAGACACATTGGCTGGATCTGCACCACTGGGTGGGGAATTGATACATGAAAAGGCAGATGTGGTCAATGCGATTTGGAAACAAGCGATGGAATCAGTAGAGATATAAGATTATTATGGCCTGGAGAGAATGAGGTATCTGGGTGTAACCAGAGGGTCTGGCCAGCTCACTACACTCAGAGGAAAGGCAAGACGGACATATAACCAGATTGTGACCAATACCAGCTTGGACTGCACTGCTGAAGAGGAAACGGAGCAAGCACGGGACAGGTATCAACCAAAGGCATTGTGACATATATACCAATTGAGACCATCAGTATTGGATTTCTGCGCTGGCTGCTGAAGATGAGGACGGAGAGCATGCATGGGAATGCCCCGAGTGCTGTGATGTCAATTCTTGACTCAACTCAACTCAACTGTTTGACTAACCTACCCTTTTCCAATTATTACTTCAATTCCTCTTGTCTCATTCTGTTTTTAATCAAACTGAATTTTTTTAAAGTTAAAATAAAAACTTTTGAAAACAGAAAAAACAGAGCAGATTAAAAAATAAAACAAAGAAACACACTTTATTTAGTTGAAGGAGTAAACACAGGGAACAAGTAATGCAACCGGCTGTTTTACCTTTTGGCAAATAATGAGCTCAGCTCATCAAGGACACCATTCAACTTCTGCTGCAGTTCATTCAGAATATTTGCTGCATCTGGGTCTAGCTGATGGTACATGGAATACACAAACAAGTTACCATATTTATGTAAGCTGTATCTGGGTCTAGCTGATGGTACATGGAATACACAAACAAGTTACCATATTTATGTAAGCTGTATCTGGGTCTAGCTGATGGTACATGGAATACACAAACAAGTTACCATATTTATGTAAGCTGTATCTGGGTCTAGCTGATGGTACATGGAATACACAAACAAGTTACCACATTTATGTAAGCTGTATCTGGGTCTAGCTGATGGTACATGGAATACACAAACAAGTTACCACATTTATGTAAACTGCATAGATTAATTTAAAGAGTAACTGTGAATAGAGAACAGTGTGACAAAGGGTGATAATGACAGTGAGTACTGGGTAAAGTCAAAATGTGATTATACAAAAAAGAGTTTTATATAGTAATTAAAGGTGGCAAATACAGTGACTGTAAGTAAAAGGAAAAAAGTAAAGGAAAGGACCTTTTCCCCCGCCTTCAGGTGCATTGGGCATTTAGAGCCAGACCTATATTTTATAGACAAATCTGCACTCTGTGGGTGACGTCAGCATCACGCCGGCTGCCTTTACTTCCCAAGACTTTACCTGGTACACTTTTAAGGCTGGGTCGAACCTGGGAGCCAAGGTCATTTTTTAAAGAAAGTCTGGTGTTCTGTAATGACCTTAACCCACGAACTTCAGATCTAACCACTATACGACGGCGAATCCCAGTGACTCTAGCACAGAATAATAAAAGGTGGTTATAAAGTTACTGTTTCACAGACTGATTAAAATTTAGCATACGGTGATTGTAGCAAAGTAATTAAGGTAATAACACTGTTATGGCAGCATAGAATAATAATAGTAGTGTAAAATTTTCCCCACTCAAAGTTTTTAATTCTCACTTTCATTCTTCTTGACTCTCTAGGATCCATTAATTAACCAACACTCTAGTAACTAACCTTCTCGCCGCCCATAGACTCAAACACTTTCTCCAACTGTACCCGCAGTTGTTGAATGTTGTTCATCAAAATGCATGCCTGTAAATAAAGCAAAATTTACAGTATTTACTCATTATGGCTCAGTTTTTTCTCCCTCAAAATATAGCAAGAAAACTTCAGATGTTTTTTGAGCTCTGGAATGAGCTAGGTCTATTTATGAATTTGATAAACAGTCAAGATTGAGTATCCAAATACATATTCTTGCTTATAAACAAATTGCAGCTCATAAATTCACCTTAATTTTGGGTAGTAAATTGGACGCCAAAGTTCAGATGAAGTTAAAAATAAAAGTAGTTGAAAATTTTTTTTACAGAGGGAGGAAAACTGCTACATATACTGCCTAGACACAGACCCATGAACAGTTATATGAAATAAATAAATGGTGATACAAGAGCTAATGTCATAGGTAATGAATACATTAAAGTTAGTTGCGTATCCTTTACAGGATGTTGCAGAACCAACCCCAGCATTTTCTGGCTGTCGTGGTTTTTCTAGGCAAATTTACGTCCAGTAGTTTGAATGAATACACAGAGATACAAAAACTGTCACATTGATTGTATCCAATCTACCATGTCTCCATTTTAGTGTGGTAGAGAGACTTGTCAGTTCCAATTATCACAAGAAATTGTGCAGATGATAGCTTGAATAATTATTGAAATTACACTTAAAATATGTTTAATGTGACCATCTATACTTCTACTATCTTTACAATTAGTACATATGCTTTGAAGTAAGAAATTTAAAAAAAAAATAAGTAAAAAGTAAGTAAAGGACCCTTTTCCCATGCCTTTGGGCGCATTGGGCATATAGGGCTAGGCCTACATTTTACAGACCAATCGGCAGTCTGTGGGTGACGTGGTCAGTCAGCATCATGCCGACTGCCTCTGCTTCCCAGGGATGAATCTAGTACCCACTCAAGACTGGGTCGACCCGACAGCCGGGGTCATTTCTGAGAAGTATTGAATAATCAGACATTATTGATAGCCATACATATCCATTACTGAAATTGAAAAACCTCTATATATCCCAATTAGAATCGGATGGGTTGAACAGGATATAATAGTTTAAATTACTACTCACAGTGGTAGGGTCTCCTGAGTCAGTCAGATCAAGGGATAGAAGCCAGAAGTAGAAAAAAGAGACACAAACTGCTGCCTTGCAGACAGATGGGACAGTCAAAGATTGGGTGAAAGCAGCACTGTAATTATTAGTAATTGTAGGCATATACTGTCTGCTCCCAAATACTGGAAATCTGGTAAAATATTTTATCTCTTTGTAGCGTTCTTTGTAGCGTAAGCAAAGTTCTTCTTCTTCTTCTTTTGTTCGCTTTGACATAAATATCTATATCTGCAATGTTTGTCTCTAGTATGAACTTTACTGTGTTTTTTTTTTTTTAATTCGCTCAGCGACCTCGTAAAGTTTTACTTGCACTTGGCCAAAATTTATGCCTTGATATGTTGTATTTGGGACAGTGTTGGAGGACATGATCTGTTGTCTCAGGTGCCAGTCCACATGTGCACATGGCTGATTCGCCGATTTTAAATTGTTGTGTACATGTGGCTGCGAAGTCGACTGTGTCCTGTTCTAAGGCATAGAATAATGACTTGCTCTGGTCTGTCCATGAAATCATCATCGTCTTGTTGCGGTTTTGGTGGTTTTCTGATTGATTTAATTATTCTCTTCTTTTGCTGATAAGAGACTCGTATGTCAAGTTGTTCTTCATTTGCACCTTTCTTAGCTAGTTTATGAGCTCTTTCATTTCCGAAAACTCCACAGTGGGATGGTATCCATTGCATAGTTACCTTACACAGACTGCCTAGTTTGGAAAGTAGTGTTCATAGACCAGGTAGTTTTCCAGATTGGAGTGCATGAAGCACTGCTCTTGCATCTGTCAGAAATACCACGGCTTGTGAAATATGACGTATATTTAACGGTAAGTAAAGTAAAGAACCCTTTTCCATGCTTTCAGTCATACTGGGTACATAGGGTTAGACCTACGTTTATAGACCAACTGACACCGTGGGTAATGTGGTAAACATCATGTTGGCCACCTTTACTTACGAGGACTGTACTGGGTACCCATTCAATGCTGAGTCAACCTGGGAGCCAAGGTCATTTTGAAAAACATCCCGCTCCATCAGGACCTGAACCCACAGCCTTCAGATCCCCAGGCGAAGCGTCTAGCCACAACACCACGGCCACTTTCGTTTTTAATATGTAAACTATATATTTAGTAGTATATGTATGTGACGTTAGCATTTACTTACAACTTTCTGTCGACTTGCGTATTTCTCAAAATCTCTTCGCACAATATCTGCATAAGCTAACAGCACTTTGTTGACAGTCTGGAAAAAAAAAAAAAACCAAATGCAGAAACAAACAATTAAATGCAGAAATGCTTTGAACGAGGAATACTGCTTTACCATAACATGTGACATCATACTGTTTGGTTTTTTGTAATAAATTTTTTTTGTTGTTGAGTGGTTAAAAAAAATACAACATAGGATGTTAAATGGTTAAAAAATTAACACATGATGTTAAATGGTTAAAAAATAAACACAGGATGTTAAATGATTAAAACTGTGACCTGCTTATAGACAATAGTTCAAGCTAGTTGAGAGCTGTTTACAACAACCATGATGTGTGCAGACACCATAGCTGTGTCTAAATCACCTCAGTGTTTTCAAAGTTAATATGTTTAATAAATTCCACTGTTTAATAAAGAAACTAAGAATTATATTCACTATGCTCTAAGTGCAAATACTATAACCAGGCAGGATTTAAAATTGTTTCCAGTTCTTAGCCCAGACAAAGCAAATATCCCTGCTCTAAGATGAACATAGCATTGCAACCCAGTCCACTAGGGAAACCACAGGTGTCAGAAATATTACATAAAAAAGGCCAGACTAGGCACCCTAGACCTGCCAAAATCAGGGGAACTGACTGACTTTCTACCCCACTAGGACATCACACAAGCGATAAACACCTGATGACACAAAGTGCCATCATGTGGGTGAGGATCACCGTGAAAAGGTCCCAGAAACCGCATATTTATGGCCAGGCTATATTGCCGCCCCTGGCCTAAAAAAAACACAGAAAGTTTTTTTTCTCCTAAATCAAAGGAATTAAGTCTGGCCAGCATAAAAGTCCAGACATTGTGTCTCCACACATGGCTGGCTTTTCACACCTTCTATTGACTTTAGCTAAAACCAGATGGCCCTACTTTAGAAAGTTTGATCAGTAGGGGCAGCCAAGAACTGACTGACAGCAACAATGAAAGATAACTGTAGTTGGAAGGTACCTCAGGGGTGTGGCTTAAGTCTTCTCCTTAAGGAAAGAGACTGATACAGATTAGGGGAGGAGCTAACTCTGCTAAGTAGGATGAAGGGAAAGATAATACTGCTAGGCATATGAAATTTAATTCAGTTTGCAGACCAGCCCGCCACCAACTTAGATCAACAGCTAAAATAATTCTAGCTGTGTGAGTCTTTTGTTTGGCAAACTGCTGGAATTTTCCCAGGTATTTTACTCTTTTATTCATCTGTTAGGAGTCTAACTATTCTACTTTTATCTTTTTTGAATTATCTAAATACACATTTTGCCTGAAAAAGTTCTTTGTGAGTATTCAGTTATTTCAGTTAGACAGCTGGTAAACTACTCCTATTCCCTAATTATTTGTTTTACATGTTTTTCAGTGTATGTTTTCATGTTTATAAAATAAATCTTTAATGTGTGGGTTCCGGGGCCCTATTATATGGAAAACAAGAACAGACCCACTGCCTACCCAAAAGCATGTCGTAAGAGTCGACTAATTGGGAGCTTCTTTCAAAGTCGGCGTGCATCTGCCTGAGAGGCAAGGAACTAGCAGTCTGCATACAAATGAGTCAGATCTGTAAAACAGATGCACATGCAACACTCAGGATCTGGAACAGAACTGCAGTCCAGAAGTGGATGAAGAACCAGAACTTTCCACCAGAGTTTACAGCTGGTGAACGCGAAGAAGAAGAAGAAGAAGATTATAATGAAATGTAATGAGAAATTTCTCTGGAAATTGATGGGGCATTATGGAATCCCACAGAAAATTATTAAATTAGTAAAGGAAACATATAAAGACATGAAATGTCGAGTTCTTCATGAGGTAAAGCTAACAGATACATTTGAAATAAAAACAGGTGTGCCTCTCTTAATTTTACTGGCTATAGACTTGATTACGAAAACAGTAACTGCTATCACCAAGAATGGAATTCAATGGACTACTACAAAACAGCTTGATGATCTGGAATTCGCTGATTTTTCTCTTCTGTCCAATTCATGGAATCAGATGCAAGACAAATTAAATATACTTGATGCGAGGTCACAGCAACTTGGTCTGAAAATCCATAAAGGAAAGACAAAGATAATGAGAATAAATCAGGTAAGTAGTAATGTGGTTTCTCTTAATGGCACCGGACTCCAAGACGTTGAGTCGTACACCTATTTGGTCAGTAATGTAGATAAAGATGGAGGAACTTATAGAGATATTAAAATAAGAATACAAAAGGCAAGAGGAGCTTTCATAGCACTAGGGAATTTGTGGAGGTCAAAAAAAATTAAAAGAAAAACTAAACTAAAAATTTTTAATTCTAATGTCAAATCAGTACTTTTGTATGGGCCAGAAACATGGAGAACAACTTAGGCAATTACAAATAATGACAGACATTCATTAACTGGTGTCTGCGCAGAATAGAGGAAATTAAATGGTATGATAGAATAACTAATGTAGAACTTTGGGAGAGAACTAAACAGGCTCCAGTGGACCAAGAGGTGAGGAAAAGATGCTGGTGTTGGATAGGACACACACTGAGAAAACAGGAGAACAACATAACTAGAATGTCTTTGCCTTGGAACCCACAGGGGGATAGGAATAAAGGAAGGCCAAAAAAACACATGGAGAAGAGAGCTGGAGAATGAAGTTAGAAAGATGGGGAGGACATGTGGAGAGCTCCATGTAATGGCGAAGGATAGAACGACTTGGCATGAGTTGGTTGAGGGCCTATGCTCCACTGGGGGATAGAAAGGCAGAAGAAGAAGAAGAAGAAGAATGAGATTATAAGGTTTCAAACATCAACTAAAACATGTGCACTGATTGTGGGGATAGGATGCTCACATGTGCAGCTATGTGGTGATGGCTTTGATAGCCCACCACTAGTGAAATTCGTTTACCTATCCAGGGGGTTGACAACCCAGGGGAAAATCATAGGAGTTTATAAATGTGGGTCATTAGAAGTATAATATGCACATGTAAAGTTTTGGGATTTTCTGAAGATAACCTGTTATCTCATGTCAGCCAGTTACGCAGTCCGAGTGAGGACGGACAACAGACTTAGGACCTCAACTATCATGACAGGACAGGAAAGGGAAGACAAGCTATGTATACATCAGTGTGAGACAAAAGAAAAGACCTTCAGAGTAGGCTGGAGAGAATGTGGATATGTTTATATTAGAAAATGAATGTTTCCTCGTAGAATCTAGATACTACACATATGCGCTTGAATCCATTATTACAGTTCCCGTCAGGGGCAAGGACCAATCAGTTCTTATCAGAAACAGAGGGTCCGTGTACGAACCTACATTGCGTGGGAGATTGGCAAGCTGGAAAAAGCTAAGCTGGGCCTCAATCGAGGGCTCTCTGAGCTTTCACTTTATTAAATCCAAAAGTTACGTCAAAATTTATGTTCATAAACTTATCATCATCATAAAAACATCACTCTAATCTTAGGTGCTCACTGCTCTAGCAGAAGCATCTCATTACCACCATACCATCACTGTTTATTCGAAATATACTAAAACGACAAATATCATCTAGATGATTGCTAGTATAATAAATCAATAAATGAGGGTTTTATACTGCACTGTTTGTCAAATTCCAAGTGTATGTGTTCTTACATGGTTAACTAAACTGTTAGATAGAATTACATTTGGGGGGGCTCTTTAATAATTCATTACCAGGAGGAGGTCATCGGAAGGGGTCACCTGCCCTGTCTAACCACTGATTAATTAAAGTAATCTAGACATCTAAAACCCCTTTCCTTCTCCTGTGGGTACCAAGTGCAGCTGCTGTGAATTTACAGGACGAGCCAAATAGGGCTGTTTTCTTGGATATCCAGGACTTTGTCTGAGAACAGCATAGCTCGGATATTGGTTCAGCTTCTCATGTGGAGGTGAAGTGTTGAGAGTAAAACTCTTACTCATCACAAAAGCATCTATCCACTCGGAGACTCGCGACAATATCTCATTTTCATCATAGGTCTCAAGCGTGAATTTATCTGCAGCAGATAATTTCATGAGGATAGACACAGACAGGTGTTTGAGGGAGTGGCTGGCTGAATGGTTAGAATGTTGAGCTCTCATGCAGGAGACTAGGGTTTGATCCTTGGTAAGGGAGATTTCTTCTGTCGGAAGCAAAATAAAAATCCTAATCTGCACGGTTTGTGGTTACTGCACTAGCCATGCGACCTTATATCTTCAGGCTCACGATGCCCCTGTAAGCTCACAATCCCCATGAGGGCTCATAATTCCACCTGTCCTAGACTACTAAGTGGTAAATATAGGCAGCAAAGACAGACACGTGTTAGACAATATAAAAAAAAAAAAAAAGGAAACAACAACAAAAAACGAACAAACAAACAAACATTAGGTAGTCTTGTTATACACAGACTTTACTAAGCATCAGTGCCTAAGAGAATGATAACCCTTATGAGCGATTGAAGTGCAGCAAGAGGTTGCTAGTGCAAACAGTAAGTAAATATGGGTAATGTTCAATATGGTGTCAGTGTTGTAACTGTAAAGACTAATTTGAACTTGATGGCTGATATGTTAAAAAACAATATTATTTTCTAGCAGGACTGCAGCCTAAAAGACTGACACCCAGTGACTCAAAGAGTTACTTTTTGGATGCAAACACAACAGGAGCAGGCCAGACACCCCATGCAACAATAAAACAGTTATACTGGAATACTCATTGGTTACAAAATAACCTGCTGACCTATGGGTTGGGTATTTTAAGTTTGCTGTTTAGTGTGATAAGAAGAATTTCACTGTCAAAACCACCTTTACTTTCTCATAAAAGTTTTTGGTACCTATTTTTAGAGTGTGTTGACCTAGGAACTCAGATCAATAACAAAAAATCTGCCTCCTTAGGGATACAAATACGTGACCACACGGGCTGGCAGGCAGGCAAGTATGTCAGTCTAGCATGTATAAATATCTCACAAACACAACTACTGGAACAAACCTTGGCAAATCTTTTCATGTAATTTTTCACAACTTCAGGATCAGGACACTCCAGTTTCTTAATGACATCAAAACACTGATTCAGCTGGGTGAATACATCCACAACTGAGGTAGAGAACAGGGCATGCTCAGAACTCTTTTGAAACTGAAACACGGGACACAAATCAGTATGAAATCAGGAAATGTGAAAGCAGAAAGTATGAAGTTAGCGATTAAAAAAAAATGTGTTGCATGTCCTTTAGAGGATGTTACAGAAGCCAGTTCTACGTTCAGCAGTTTGCCATTGCTTATTGAATGGTTGGCTTTCGGTACCACTGTTGAAACCAATTTTGATGTCAAATCACTCACAGCTGGGATTGAACCTAGCATCACAAAATTATGAAGCATTTGGAAGTTAGTAGACATGTACAGCAAATCATATATAATAGATATTTTACTCCATGCCATGATGCTTATATACATAACATCCTCTCTTTTGGTTTATCTTTGTAACTCTTCCTCTCCAACTTTCCCTGCTGGAAAGAAGAACTCATTTCCCTTCTCTTATAATAATGATTCGCTTCTTCTGATGGAGGAAACTAGTTCTCTTTCAAGACATAAGTATAAGACCTTGTTGCTGGTTATGTAAAACTAGTAAGTTACTGTATTTATGAGCAATATAAATCAAGTTAGGATTAAAAAAAAAAAATAATTACAAGACGTCTACAAGAAAAGAATGCGTCAATTTGAAGAGAGCAAATCGAAAGGAGAACATTTCTCTAAGGATGGGTGGTGCCATGAAAGTGCAATGACAACATGTTTGAACAGGGCAGGTTCACTAGCATGTCTTTCTGTTTATAAATAAAGTAACGAGCAGTGAGGCTTCAACTTGCCCTTGTAAAACAGGCAGTTGCTTTTGAGACTGGTTGAATTTGTACTTCAGTTGTAAGGATTAACTTTTATCTTCATTTTATTTGTTACTGTAGAATGTACCTGACGAGGTACAGCAAAATATGCCAGGCAATAAATTGTGAAATCTATTCTGTTTCGTCTTTGTTTAAATTTACAAAGCAGAAACATTTCTTTGAACATGGTGTTTCTTACTGAAGGGAATGCTGTCATGTGATGGCTAACGTTTTAGACAGACTCAACTTTCTTTTAAAAAGACACAGACGCGGTTGCCTGAAAACAAATGAGAAAGAAAGAAAAGAAAAACTGTCTGACAAAAAAAAAAAAAAGTAGTTAGTGGTGAATGGACTGATCTCAGTTTACTGTAAACCCATCTGGCTGTTTTTCTCTGCAGAGTGGCTGGCTGCCTGCTGATAAAAAATATTCAGGAAATCGCAGTTCCTATTTCATAGCAAACAGGTCCCCTGATAGTTGCTCAGTGTTTGTGCCAACAAAAACCACAAAGAATATCCATCACCGTCCCATGTGTAAAAAATTGATAGGCCGCAGTCTCTGTGAAGCCAACAGCATACACATGCATTAAATGCACAAGGCAGTAATAGAAGTGCCAATGCAAACAGTCCGGCACTAGAAATGCAGGTCATCATTGATGGATGTAGCAGATACAACAGATCAGTTGTTGCACACGCAATTTATCACATAAAGGACCACCAGTTCTACAGCAACAGGCCACTCACTCTTTTCTGAATCTGCAGTTCACAACACAAACCTCGTTAAGCCGAGTCAAAAAGCATTCCAAAGGAATCTGCACTAAACACAGTAGATGGGCGATGGAACTATATCCTTTTAGTCTAAACATGAAGGAAAATGCAATGGCTAACTTCTGTCAGAAGTAAAAGCTTGCCCAACTGAAAACTTTAGGCCTGCCAATCCACAATACTGACCAGAAGTGTATGCTGAATGATACACAAAGCACAAATCCCATAACCCCAGCAATGACCTCCAGGACTCTAAAATATTTCCACTAATGAATCAAACGGCAAAGCCTGAAAATGAACTAGCAAACTATCAGAATATGAGGGACCATCCTGCCACTGAGATTCACTCTCCTCCACCTCCTCCCTCTTACTGGCTTTAGCCAGTCACACTGACTTACCCCATCTTTCCTGTCCCTGTCATAGGCACCGTGGAGATAGTCCATGGACACATCATCATTTTCATTCAGCCACTGCATCACAAATGGTTCAAACCATCTAAAAAACACCAGAAAAAACAAAAGTGGCCATGAACTACATATTCATTCTGTCAAAACAGCATGACATTAAAGTACCTATTCATTCTGTCAAAATAGCATGACATTAAAGTACCTATTCATTCTGTCAAAACAGCATGACATTAAAGTACCTATTCATTCTGTCAAAACAGCATGACATTAAAGTACCTATTCATTCTGTCAAAACAGCATGACATTAAAGTACCTATTCATTCTGTCAAAACAGCATGACGTACCTATTCATTCTGTCAAAACAGCATGACATTAAAGTACCTATTCATTCTGTCAAAACAGCATGACATTAAAGTACCTATTCATTCTGTCAAAACAGCATGACGTACCTATTCATTCTGTCAAAACAGCATGACATTAAAGTACCTATTCATTCTGTCAAAACAGCATGACGTACCTATTCATTCTGTCAAAACAGCATGACATTAAAGTACCTATTCATTCTGTCAAAACAGCATGACGTACCTATTCATTCTGTCAAAACAGCATGACATTAAAGTACCTATTCATTCTGTCAAAACAGCATGACGTACCTATTCATTCTGTCAAAACAGCATGACATTAAAGTACCTATTCATTCTGTCAAAACAGCATGACATTAAAGTACCTATTCATTCTGTCAAAACAGCATGACATTAAAGTACCATTCATTCTGTCAAAACAGCATGACATTAAAGTACCTATTCATTCTGTCAAAACAGCACGACATTAAAGTACCCATTCATTCTGTCAAAACAGCATGACATTAAAGTACCTATTCATTCTGTCAAAACAGCATGACATTAAAGTACCTATTCATTCTGTCAAAACAGCATGACGTACCTATTCATTCTGTCAAAACAGCATGACATTAAAGTACCTATTCATTCTGTCAAAACAGCATGACGTACCTATTCATTCTGTCAAAACAGCATGACATTAAAGTACCTATTCATTCTGTCAAAACAGCATGACATTAAAGTACCTATTCATTCTGTCAAAACAGCATGACGTACCTATTCATTCTGTCAAAACAGCATGACATTAAAGTACCTATTCATTCTGTCAAAACAGCATGACGTACCTATTCATTCTGTCAAAACAGCATGACATTAAAGTACTATTCATTCTGTCAAAACAGCATGACGTACCTATTCATTCTTAAAGTACCATTAAAGTACCTATTCATTCTGTCAAAACAGCATGACATTAAAGTACCTATTCATTCTGTCAAAACAGCATGACATTAAAGTACCTATTCATTCTGTCAAAACTCCCTGCGTGGGTTCCAGAGCCACATTGTGGAGAGGGGTAGGTGGGGTAGGGGTGAGGGGTGGGAACAAAAAGAATAGACCCACTGACTCCCTAACAAGCATGTCATAAGAATCACAGAATGAAATGAATTAGGGGTTTCCTTTCAAGTCACATAGAGAAGGAGCCAGTAGTCTACAAATAAAGGTAAGCCACATCAGTAAAATGGATGTGCATGCAAAACTCAAGTTCTGGAACCAGACCAGAATCCAGAAGCAGACACAAACAACCAGAATTTGTTGCCAGAATTTACAACCAGTGAGTGCTAAGAAGAAGAAGAAGCAGATTCTGTCAAAACAATATCATAACCCACTGAATACCATTCCCAATAACCCTTGCACTTTCACAAATACCACACATTTTAGTGTGTTCTAAAATGTCATAGCTTTACAACTATTTAATATAAACTTATAATATTTTGTATTTTTGCACCAAACTGAAGGGAGAACAAATTTAAAGAACAAGAATTGTATAATCTTGTTTGATATCCTCATCATGTGGCTATAGATTGGTACCAAAAAAAAAAAAAAAAAAAAAATTTTTTTTCTGACGGCAATATAGACTAACTAAAATTCCATAGCTTCACAAACTCATAATATTTTGCCTTTTTGCACCAAACAAATTTCAAGAAAAAAAAAAAATTGCATAATTTGTTTTTACATCATCATCATCATGTGACTGTACATTTTCTGATACCAACATAAGTATTTTTTTTTAAACTGAAATAATCTTGGATGAAAGCTCTGCCTAACTTCTTCTTCTCTGTCATCTGACATTCTTTCATTATGCCCCAACCATTTCAGTCTATTAGCTCTCATGATGCCAGTGATTAATGGTGATTTAAACAAATTATGAATTTTGTTGTCGCTTCTCACTCTCCATTTCCTGCTGTTTGCATCTTTGAAAGGTCCAAAGATTCGTCACGAGACTCTGTTTTCGAAAACCTATAATAATAAGGCTTCATCTCTTCTAGTTGTGCTCCAAGTTTCAGAGCCATATAGAATAACTAGTCTTATCAATGTTTTATACATTTTGATCTTGGTTTTGCGAGACAGACACTTTAACTTTAGCAGATTTTGAACGGCATAGTATACTTTATTTTCAGATCGTATTCTAGATTGTATTTTTTCACTCATCATGTTCGAGCAATTGAAGTTTGCACTCAAATACTTATATGTTTCTGTTTGTTCCGCTCTGCCTAGCTGTGAAATAAAATTCACTGACTTTTTTGCCATTTTGCACCAAGAATGTCAGATACATTATGACTGAACTGTTGAACTCAAAGAACAACAAAAATGATCATTTCCGAAAACCCGCATAGTGGAAAATGCATCCCGGTAAATGCTGAGGATTGCATTGTAAAACGGTTTTTACTAAACTCTGAGCCAAGAGCCAAATTGGACACAATCTATACTAACAGACGTGTCTAACAATACACATCTGAAGCATCTACACTTCCACTATGCTGGCCCTAATGATCAGCCCCATAACCAAAACATCTGTTTATGCATTATCAACATGGGAGCTCACACACAAAAATTTGTGGAAAATTTACTTTATATTCTACCAAATTGTTTCCTTAAAGAGTCATACAGAAATGAATGGAGTAGCTGTTTCAACTACATTTATCACATAAAGTCGCAATTCTAACATGACAGCGAGCATCCAAAGTTAAAACCGTTCAAGAAGGGGGAGGGGGGGGGGGGTGGCGGAAGTGCGCGATTGTGGTAGCCAGGCCAGGCGTAAAGTTGGTGGATCGCGTAACGTGCTATCGTGATAGTCAGTCTTTCTTTTGCATTCACATGCAGTTCACCTCACGTCTTTCTCTTTTTAACCTCACTTTTTAGCTCTCGTCTCCATATGTTTTTTGGTCTGCCTTCATTTTTCTGCCCTGTGGGTTCTTTTATTCTCAGATCTTGTCAACATATGTCCTATTTCAATAATGCTGGTTTCTATATCAGTCTCTAATCTGTCCCGATGGAAAGTTAGTATGAACAGATACACAGATATATTGATAACACCCAACTGCTCTGAAGTAGTTTAGTGTTTGAGATTGTATCTGGCAAGACAATTTTGATAATTCTACGTAGACATGTGTGGTAGAAGGTGGACAGCTTGTGTGCATCCTTTTTGGTCATTCTCCAGCATTCCGCACAATAAAGAAGAACTGGAAAAATGATGCTCTTGTAGAGTCGTAGTTTTGTTTCTCTGCAGTAATTGTTGGATTTCCAGATGTGCCTCATCCTTCCAAAAGCAGCTCTAGCTTTGTTCAAAAACAACATGGAGACGAACGATGGAAAGTGACCTGAGTGCGGCATCTTTGACATGGAAAACTGCACTGAAGATTGCACAGGACAGGAAAGCATGGAAAGTCCTCTCTGAAGCTTCAAGTGTGCCACTAGGCATAACGAGAACTGATGATGATGATGATGAACTGCTCTGAAATTACAGTTTATTGTTGTATAACCAAGGTGTCGTCCAGTCGTTGTCTGGTGTTCTCACGTGCCGTATTCGGGTTCCCTCACGAATACTGTCACAGCTGGCACACAGCTGAATAAAAACTTCAGTTACCTTTCGGTCCATACATTTGACAGAGGCTGAGGTCATGCATATGAATCACAATGCTACGAAGATTCACAATCCCTTGATGATACAAATCACAGTCTCCTTCTGCAATTTTTGTGTGTTCAATGTCCTCGTTCTGTTCTTCAGCAATCACAGGTTCATCAGTCACTCGATGTAAACAACCTTTCTCCAGTACGGTCAAGCATGAACTAACTTATCTCAGCTCCTGGGCATTAATGCGAATAAACCAACATGATATACAAAAATATTCGTTACATGCATACATGGCTAGAATTGTAGAAAACTGACTTATCTTTTATCTAGCACCACTATTCCACCTTTGTGTGCCAATCAACTCAGGAGGATCAAGATTGTTTCACAAAGTGAACACCAGATGTTGCTGTTTGAGGAAAACACCCCCTTCTCTTACTACCGATCTATTTCTAGATTTATAATTTTCAAGATTCTCCTCATTATTCTAGCTGAATGTGTCACTTCAACTGTGAATGTATTCTTCATGAAATTATGACTCCGCAGAGTCTGAAAAAAAGCAAAGTATCGATCACGTGTTGGACTGTAAAAAGCGTAGACCTACTTTACTTTCCTGTCGAAGTGCTTGGTTCATCAGCCGCTCGTTTTATTGTGAATTTTTTCAAATTTTTTCACGTGAAACAACAAATTTTATCTGAACACACGTGGGCGGACATCTAGGAAGACTATCCATGAGATCTGATTACGATTGGCTAGTTATTTTTAGTCTGTGACGCATCTTTTTCACGCCCTCCGCAAATAGCAGAAAATAAGGGCCAGCGGTGTAGTGGCAGGTTAAAAATTCCGGGAAAATCAGGCCAGCAGTCTAGTAGGGTTAAGTATTGATAGTTAAACCTCTGAAAACTTGTTCACATATTTCTAGATTTATTCAGGCCTTTCTACAGTAACTTCATATAAGTCTATACTTTTTCAAGCCTTTATACAATAAGTTGATAAATGTCCTGATCTGAGTCTTATCAAGTGATGAGAGCCACTCCACACACAGAACACCAGTCTCATTTTTTTAGAATATATTAGAATTCTATGACTTACTTTATTGCTTAATATATTCAAATCAGGTGT